TCAACCCTGGGTTTAGCAGGCCAATGCTCAAACCACTGAGCTATCCCTCCTGCTTCTTGCGTAGAGGCTGTCCGGTTTGGCCAATGTACATGGCAGAGGGGCATTGCTGGCACATGATGGCATATATCACATTGGTAGATGTGCAGGTGAACTAGCCCCTGATGGCATGGCTGATGTGATTAGGTCCTACGATGATGTCATTTGAATAGATATGTGGACAGAATTGGCATCGGGCTTTGTTGCAAGGATAGGTTCCTGGGTCAGTGTTTTTGTTCAGTGATGTGTGGTTGCTGGTGAGTGTTTGCTTCAGGTTGGGGCGTTGTCTGTAAGCGAGGACAGGTCTGTCTCCCAAGATCTGTGAGAGTGAGGGATCATCTTTCAGGATAGGTTGTAGATCTTTGATGATGCGCTGGAGAGGTTTTAGTTGGGGGTTGAAGGTGACAGCTAGTGGTGTTCTGTTATTTTCTTTGTTGGGCTTGTCTTGTAGGAGGTGACTTCTGGGTACTCGTCTGGCTCTGTCGATCTGTTTTTTCACTTCAGCAAGTGGGTATTGTAGTTTTAAGAATGCTTGATAGAGATCTTGTAGGTGCTTGTCTCTGTCTGAGGGATTGGAGCAAATGCGTATTTATCTTAGAGCTTGGCTGTAGACAATGGATCGTGTGGTGCGTCCTGGATGGAAGCTGGAGGCATGTAGGTAAGTATAGTGGTCAGTAGGTTTCTGGTATAGGGCGATATTTATGTGACCATCACTTATTAGCACAGTAGTGTCCAGGAAATGGACCACTTGTGTGGATTGACCTAGGCTGAGGTTGATGGTGGGATGGAAATTATTGAAATCATGGTAGAATTCCTCAAGGGCTTCTTTTCCAGGAGTCCAGATGATGAAGATGTCATCAGTGTAGCGCAAGTAGAGCAGGGGCATTAGGGGACGAGAGCTAAGGAAGCGTTGTTCTAAGTCTTGATATTTCTGGAGTTAACTTCCCATTGTAAGCCCTCCTCCCACATTTGGATTTTGGTAGGCTAACATGTAGGGCTCTTATGAAATGAGTGAGATTTCATTATATTATTTTGGCAAGTTAAGATTTGTATCATTCCTAAGTGGAGTGAGGCCTGTGCAGAATTTTGGCAGCTAACAAGCATCTATTCTAGCTGTGAGCAGCCTCAACCTTGGAGCTGTCTTCAAGATTATTTTTAAAGTTTTTTAAATCGTTCTGTGAAAAGGCTTCTTTGTACACTTTGTACAAAACTTGCCATATGGGCTTTCTCCTGCTGAGGTCTGTCCTCATGCAAGAAGGCCTCCGGAATGGTGTGGAGGGAGCTGGGATTTGCCAGGCATTTAGAGAGTGAGCACACTAAAAACAGGAGCGAGTAACTAAACGTGTCCCTTTTGAATACATTTTAAAGTTCTATATTTGCTGACCAGTGATTATACTGCTGTCAGATATTTCCTTCTCCCCCTTTTAACTAACATGGAAGTTAGAACTTGGAAGCCAATAAAGTTGTCTGCATTGCAGCTCCAATCAGTACTACTGTACTGCCAGTTTGGAACCAGTGGTAGCACCAGTGGGGATTTTTGTTTTGTTCTTTTATTTGCTTTTAGAATGAGTTATGAGCAGGGCCAGCTCCAGGGTTTTTGCCGCACCAAACGGCGGGCGGGGTGGGGCGGGGGGGGGGGAGAAAGCCGCAATTGCGATTGGCAGCACTTCTGCGGCAATTCGGCGGCAGGTCCTTCCGTCCGAGAGGGACTGAGGGACCCACCGCCGAATTGCCACCAAAGAGCCGAACGTGCCGCCCCTCTTCGTTGGCCGCCCCAGGCACCTGCTTGCTGTGCTGGTGCCTGGAGCCGGCCCTGGTTATGAGAAATTAGCATGGGATTTTCAGAAGTTCTCAGTGTTGGGCTAATTCTTCTTCCTTGGGGGCCAAAGGCAAAACTCCAATTGACTTCAGTGGGAGAAGAGTCCAGCCAATGCTGAGGAATTTTGAAAATCTCACCCTTGATGTTTATAATACGAATTATCTGGGTTTAAGAACATTGATCCTGCCTTTTGTGAGGATAGTTATGCCATCAGATATTTGAAATATTAGCTCAGTATGAACCCTTCTAGCCCCACCCCAAAAAACAAACAAAAAACCCACCTTTCTGTCTTTTCCATTTAATAATTGAGTTATATTTTGATGTACTGCTTTATAAAACTCACTTTTATTTTTCATCTTTAGACTGTAGGTTTCAAGGTGACACCTCTCAGGCAGAGCCTATGGATACCACAGGAAATATGACCGCATTGCCTGGCGGCAACTTGACATGCCTTTTGACCATTGACGACTTCCGAAATAAAGTGTACTCCACATTGTACTCCATGATTGCGATTCTGGGCTTTGTTGGAAACGGCTTTGTACTGTGTGTCCTCATAAAAACGTACCAGCAGAAGACAGCCTTCCAGATCTACATGCTGAATCTTGCAGTGTCAGACCTCCTCTGTGTATGCACCCTGCCTCTTCGAGTAGTGTATTACGTTCACAGAGGCAACTGGTTCTTTGGTGACTTCTTATGCAGAGTTAGTTCCTATGCATTCTATGTCAACCTGTACTGTAGCATTTTATTCATGACAGCCATGAGCTTCTCTCGCTGCATAGCCATAGTTTTCCCCGTCCAGAATCTCAATTTGGTAACTGAGAAAAAGTCCAAACTGGCATGTATGAGCATTTGGATTTTTGTCACACTGACAAGTTCTCCATTTTTACTGAGTGGGTCTTACCAAGAAGGTAACAAGACAAAGTGCTTTGAACCTCCAAAAAGCAGTCAGATGACCAGCCTGCTGGTCCTACATTATATTTCGCTGTTTGTAGGCTTCATTATCCCCTTTAGTGTCATAACTATCTGTTATGCCATGATCATAAAGACCTTACTGAAGAATTCACTGAAGAAGAATCAGTCTACTCGTAAGAAGGCCATCTGGATGATAATCATTGTAACAGCTGCCTTCCTGGTCAGCTTCACACCTTACCATATTCAGCGCACAATCCACCTTCACTTCCTGAAGAGGAAAGACTCCAGCTGTGAAGACATCCTTTTCATGCAGAAATTAGTAGTGATAACCCTATCCTTGGCAGCTTCAAACTGCTGCTTTGACCCACTCCTGTATTTCTTTTCAGGGGGCAACTTTCGGAGGAGACTTTCCACATTTAGAAAGGCTTCCTCCTCCAGTGTGATACAGGGACCCAGGAAAAAGTTATCATTAAAGGAGAAAGACGACGAGCCATTTCAAGAAAGCCATAAATAAGCTGGATGTGCAGTGTAGCTGTGCTTCCTTTGTAAGGCTTTTTGTGTGGCACTGCAGTAGAAATAAGCTCACAGTGGGACACCAGTGATTGCAGAACTGTTTCAGGAGAACTGAACAAAACAAATGCATCTTCGTCAAAGTTAAATAGAGACAAAAATCCAAAGGGACCTGCTTCTACTCAGACCTTTCTGACCAGACACCCCTCTGCCTGCCATTGAGGGGTTTATTTGATCGTGCTGTGGAGCATTCTGAGGATAATTTTAAATTCCAAGAGACTCAAAGCAAAAAGGACTGAAATGTGAATGGATATTCTGAAAACGTGCTCAGAGGCATGTACAGTTCCCGCCCCCGCCCCCTCTTCCCCCGACTTAAGAAGTTACAGCAGAGCAGCAGGAAAACATTTGCGTGCTGGTAAATTCATGCAGACAAACTCTTCAGATCCTACATAAGGTCATGAGGCAACTCTACAAAGACCATTAGTCACTGAGCCAGTGGGAAATGTAAATATTTGCCATGATAGAAGTTGATGAAGCTTATGCAAAGGGGGAGGGGGAAGAGAGGAGGAGAGTACACACTGAATCCCAAAACAGACACTGATTTCACAGGAAAATGTCTTCCCTATTCCCAGTTATTTATTGCCTGGGCTTTTAACTTTCAGTGGCATAGATTGTCACCACCTAATAGAGAAGAGCGTGTGCACAGATGACTTTAAGCCACCTTTACACTCCTCCAGTTGTGGGCCGGTTGTGTGGCAGGCCCATCTTCTGGTGTAATTTAGAGCAGACTAAGGACTGTTCTAACTTGTACTAGCTACTAAACACCCCAAGGAACTGATCCTGCAGCCTGGGATTAGGGAAGCCCTAGCCATGAAGGGGGTGGCATAGGAGCTACTACACTGGCTCTGCATCACCAGATGATCACCCTACACAGAAGTAATCCTCATGTGACCATTAAAGCTAGCTTTATGTCCACTATACACTGGCAGTGCAGCACAAAGAGCCACACCACACTAGAGGATCTGAGCCTATACCTTCCCACATAGGAACTGTATTTGTCCCTCCCTCCGCCCCCATACATTTCCTGTAATTTGAGTTCCCATTTCCAAATATATTGCAACACACTAGTTCAGTTCACAGCTACAAGATCTTTGAATGGCTTTCTGTCTGTCTGAATTTTACAAGTAAATCCTGAGATATAGTTCTGGTATGTGCCTCCCAAACAAACACTTTGGCCCCAGTCCTGCACCAATTGAACCCTAAAAACATGAGTAGTCTCCTTGACGCCAGTGGCTGCTTACATACAAAATGGAAAAAGACTGCCTAAGAAGGAGTACTGCAGAAAGGGATCTAGGGGTCATAGTGGATCACAGGCTAAATATGGGTCAACAGTGTAGTTGCAAAAATAGCAAACCTCATTCTGGGATGTATTTGCAGGAGTGTTCTAAGCAAGATGCATAAGTAATTCTTCCGCTCTAGTCCACGCTGAGTTAGGCCTCAGCTGGAGTATTGTCTCCAGTGCTGGGCGCCACATTTCAGGAAAGATGTGGACAAATTGGAGGAAGTCCAGACAAGAGCAATAAAAATGAATAAAGGTCTATAAAACATGAGCTATGACGGACAATTGAAAAAATTGGGTTTGTTTAGTCTGGAAAAGTGAAGACTGAGGGGGGACATGATAACAGTTTTCAAATACATAAGAGTTTGTTACAAGAAGAACGGAGAAAAATTGTTCTCCTTGACCTCTGAGGATAGGACAAGAAGCAATGAGCTTAAATTGCAGCAAGGGAGGTTTAGGATGGACATTAGAAAAAACTTCCTAACTGTCAGAGTAGTTAAGCACTGGAATACATTGCCTAAGGAGGGTGTTGAATCTCCATCTAAGAACAGATTAGACAAACACCTGTCAGGTGTTTAAATAATACTTAGTCCTGTCATGAGTGCAAGGGATTGGACTAGATGACCTCTCAAGGTCCCTTCCAGTCCTATGATTCTATGAAAATTAAGCCATGCATCAATCAGGCTTTGAGGGGGGTGGGGTGGCAGTAGGGGTGGGGGTGGGGAGGTGGAAAGGTATATTTAAAATTCAAGATACAGAGTTGAACCCCACCCACCTTCCCACCCCAGCTCCTCTTTGAAGTGTTTTCCACCATAAAGTGGCATTGTAAAAGAGGGCTGAACAGAGCGGGGCTATTCTAAGTTGCCTATGTAGCTTTGGAAGCATTCCTGGAAGTAATATTAAACAGCAGTGAGTCATCAGGTACATTTTCCACATTGTATTTTTGCTCAGTTATTAGAGGCTGGGAGGATGAGCACCAAACTCCACATTTCCTCTTTCAGCTCCCATGTCTTCCCTTATCCACGACATTTCCCAGCCTTCAAATGAATGCTGATTAGCAGGAGGACTTTCTGGCTTCCTCTGACCATAGGCAGGTTTCCAGTAATGTAGTATTTTTGGTTGGCACTGTTTTCTCCTGCCACTCCACTCTATTCTGACCACACAGCACATGTTGGTCTCAAGCTGAATTTTGCCTGCTCAAGGCATGGAAGCATGAGAGACTGTCTCTCCTTTCTTTCTTTGGGTTCCTGTCAGCTACAGAAGCTTTCCGAAATCTACCCAAAAAAACCCCACAATCAAAATAGAACAGAAATATCAATAGGAGTTGAAATGCCGAGACTACTGCTGTCCGAGACTTAAGCAGTAAAATACACACTGGAGGGGCGCCATGTTAAAATTCTGCCACCAAACTCCAGAGAGGCTTGGAGTGCTTTCCCTTGCCTCAGGGGCAATGCACACACTCGCTGAATAACCTTAAATCATCGCCACCCACAAATGACTTATCCCTGAGCCTCGGGGCTTGTCTAGATGAACAGTTAGTGTGCAGTAAGCTGGGGTATAAATCTACAGTCCCCTAACTGTCCATGTGGACTCTGCTACCATGCCCTAAAAGTTCCCCAGTGTGCTTTGATCTATTCTACTTTGAATTGGAAGTAGGTCAGACAGCTACAGTGTAAGCCTGGTTCTGTTGCAAATTTGCAGTCAACGGGACATTTGCTAGTGACTTGGATAGGATTTCACCAATAACTGTGAAAAGAAAACGTTTTGCCAAATGATACTACCACCTTTCTGGATCATAGAGATGAGAAAATGTTTTTGGTTAAAAGGGAAAACTAATGAATAGATTCTGCAGTCCCTCCTACCCTTCACTCCAAGCTCACTAGCCGAGTACACAATATTTACCACAGTCCCAGAGAAAGCTGCTTATTAAAATATTGTCAGCACATTGCATGCCTGCAGGTTGGTGAATTAGGCAGTCCCAAAGCTAGAAGCATTCTGTGCTGGAATGTTTATTCCAGACTAAGAATTGGATCCCAGATTAAGTACATTGAATGTACCTTGAGAACCTATGAAAAACATTGTACTGTAAGGAAGTTCCTTGACTAGGCAGAAAAGAAGATTATAGGAGAGACTGCCTCTCCAGACACAACCGCTGTTCCTCTTTGTGCTCCCACTGGGGAGGCCTTTGTAAGCAAGGAGAGCCCGAACAGCCAGTAGCTGAACTGCAGTTACTGCGCCCCAATTAGCCCCTTATAAAACTGGACCCAGCTGCTCTCTGTTTCATAGCTGACTAGTCTCACCTCACTTTCTTGCTTTATGTGTAACTTCCTTTTTTGCTGGGTCAAGGAAAGTGGCAATACACTCCAGGACTAGAGGAACCAAGTCCCAGAGGAACCAAACTAAAGGACATCAGGTCTGTTTTCTGCTTGATTTATAGGTCTGATACACACAGATATCCCAGCCTACAGAAATCTGTTTGCTTTTAATTCACCATGGAAACTTTTGTTTCCGATTATACTAACTTCTGTTTGTGCTGCCATTGTGAATATAAACTTACAGTGTTACACCTTTCCAAATAAAACAAACCTATTTATAAATCGTATCAGCGCAAATAGAAGTTAAAGCGTAACTTAAGGTAGCGCTACCTGTCATAAATGCTCACATAATAAAAAGCTTTGAAATGTGGCTCACTCTATAGGCTTTATTTCAATGGGACTAGTCCTGTAAATAATTGTGGTAACATAATGCTCCGTGTTCCTGAGCCTGCAATGATCTCTGCATTGAGGCAGAGATCCAGACACTCAGCGCTCACTGAAGGAGCAGCACCTATCTTTGGGCAGTGTATGAGGCTATACAGTGATTTTTAATTAAAAAAAGAAAAAAATGGCACCCCGCTCCCCAAAAAGGGGTGATTCCTGACTGCACATCTTGCTTACATACTGTGGAAAAGATAAAACCCAAGACATCTGGAAAGATCTTCAAGGAAAACTACACAAGAAAGAAAAAGAAGAAAAAAGACAGAAGAAGGTTTACTATACTTAAGGTAAAACATGACGGCGTCTTGTTAGAGAACAGTACAGATGAAGGCTAGGCACATTGTTACCTTAAAAGATAAATTGGGGGCAGATTTTTGTCATTCATCCTATATCTAAGAAAGCACCTTTGTGTTTTTTAACCAAGAAGGAAGGCCAAGTGCTCTGAACAGTTACAACGAGGAGTCCAGTGACACCTTAAAGACTAACTGATTTATTTGGGCATAAGCTTTCATGGGTAAAAAACCCACTTCTTCAGATGCATGGAAACAAAAAACAGTCTCCCTTTCTCTGGAATGCTGCAGACACTGGACCAAGGGCCCTTGGCATACTAGGAAAGACATATAGACTCTTGTAAGAGTGAGCATCTTATCTAGAAAACAAGTAGTTAAAGCTTGTTTAACAAGTAGTTAAATCATTGAGTTTTGTGGTCTTAATGTAGTCTGACATCTTTCTGTATAAAGGAAATTACTTTAATATTGTAAATTAAGAGTGGTCTAAATTGTTGTGTTCTGAAGAACGTGTTCTTTAGGTGTGATGTAAAGTGTTACAGGTGTGTCTCAGGCTATTTATATGGTGTTGTCGGTGGTGTCGTTGTATAAGTGTGTTTGCACTGACCTATTTCAAGAGTGTGTTTCAAAATACGTATTAAATACTATAGCTATATCTAATGAAAAATGTTCCATGCAATGTATTGTACCGTAAAGATTTATGTATAACATTACTTATTTCATTGTTCTGTCTTTGATGACACAATACGAATAGTAAGAAAAGGTACATCAGCCTGTTTTTGTATAAGAGGGAAGGTTTTTGTACTTACAAAACAATTCCAGACACAATTAAAAGAAAATGATGCAAGTTATAATTTGAGACTTGTTCTCTGTGTTCTAATTTTCTAGTTTTAAAAACTCTGCATAAGGATTCTTCTTAATTAAGATGTGATACTAAAAGATACTAAAAGATGATGTGATATGGTGCCTTTGGGGGCTGTTGTAACTGGGCACAGCTTAGAGCAGCCTGAACTAGCACATTGTCAAGAAGACGTACAGTGGATGACAGCTGCCTTTGGCCTCATCTCTTAGGTCCAGTGCTAAGTGCAGCTTGGTCAAACCCCAAGACTGGGTCCCCATGTCTACACAACTTGTGCTATGCATGTATCGTTCAGTGCTGAGGGGAATTAAAGACAAATGTATTCTGTCCACATCTGCAGTCCCAGTATGAAGAGAAACATCTGGACAAGCAGACAGCTGGGACCCACAGACACAGCCAAACAGCTGGATATAAAAACAGCAAAACAAGCAGAATATATGTGAGTGGTACCAGAATAAAATTAAAACTGTTTAGCAAAGATGATCTAGAAGCCTCTTGCATGATTTGCAAAGAGTCCCAAGGTCACAGGTCTCTCACTGTGGTCCTGTGTAAAGGAGCCTACACAGAGCTGTGAGCTAGAGGCTTTCTGCTCATAAACCTGCAAAATTAATAACCTGCATCTAAATGGCTGTACAAGGTGTATTCATTGTTAAGCTATAAAAGTTCCAGTAGCTACAGTATTGCACTCATTCTTGATAATTTAATTAGAATTTGGCCATATATAGAAATCTGATTATTGGACAAATGGATTAGTGTAAAGTAATAATGTCATGTCTTTTAGGGTGAAATCCTGGTTCCACTGAAGCCAAGGGGAGTTTTCCATTTGACTTCAATGAGACCAAGATTTCACCCTCAGAATTTTCTCAAATGCTGATGAAACAGGCTAGAAGTAATTTCCATTTATCCCTTTTCTGATGATGTCAGCTGTGAATGGGTTTTTATTTCAGCATAGGGTTAGGAAATGTACAGGGACCTGAAGAGAAATGCTGGGGCAGAAAAAGAGAGAGGTACCTCTCTGCTGGCCACTCATTACCATTGTGAAACCTGCCTCACTCGCAGATACTTATGTTAGCTCTGGCAACACTTTTCTAGGTCTGGCTTGTCGTGCCAATAATAAAGCGGTAGAAACTAGGGGGAGAAAGGTGCCATGCTGATATGATAATGACATGTGGTGGAAATACACCTCTACCCCGATATAACGCTGTCCTCGGGAGCCAAAAAATCTTACCGCATTATAGGTGAAACCGCGTTATATCGAACTTACTTTGATCCGCCGGAGTGTGCAGCCCCCCCTTCCCTCCCCCACCCTACCCCCCCCCGGAGCTCTGCTTTACCGCGTTATATCTGAATTCGTGTTATATTGGGTCGTGTTATATCGGGGTAGAGGTGTACCTAGAAAAGGAGACAGAGGCATCAATATCTGCCTGCCTGAGAATAAGAAGATAAATTTTTGGTGCATAAGCTGTAATTCATGGTACAGTCGTGTCACCTAGTGATTGGTCCTTGAGAAGTAAAGTCATTGAGTTTTGCAAAATTTCATCCTTTCCCTTTTAATGATTAGTTTTCCTTGTGGAAGAGCCTATGTCTCTAACCTAATTTATAAATTAAGGTCAAAATGTTAGTGCTGGCTCAGCAAAAACCCACAGCTATCCTTTATTTCTGAGCTGGTCAGTGCTGAAAGTGTTATGATCTGCCAGGAACAACAACACTGCAACAAAAGGACTAACAGCAAATATAAACTAACAGCATAAAATGTCTGACATAATGGCTGCTTCGGAGGCAGGGGATAAGCGTGTCTTAATGTCACACGTGCTTTCATGTATCTGGTTCATACCCTCTCATTCTATGCTATGGACCCTTGTAATATTACCATATGTATTCATAGGAAAAATCACTACAAAGCAGTAGTTGTCACGCTGGCAAATTGTCAAGTGTTTAATGTTACGCATTTTTCTAAAACAGGATACAAAAACCAAGGTTAGGAATGTGAATCCTTCAATTTGAGCACCCAGAAAAATCTGACTGGGTCCCGCCTCATGAGACGGCCCATTCTGTCTCCTTCCTCTCTCCATCCTTCACTCTGTTCCTTTCCCTTTCTTCTCACTCCCACTTTCCTTTCTTCTCTTGCACTGACCTTTCTACTGTCTCCTGTCACTCGAGTGCCCCTTTCTCATTCCCTCGTATATACTCAGTTTCTCAGCTTCTCTTGTTCCCCCAGGCTCTCTCCCATGCATTCATATCTTGCAGGTGTAACTTTCTTCCAGCCTTTCTGCCCCTGCTTACCTGTTCATACACACACACCCCTTTTGGGGTTTTGGATTGGGAGAGAACTTTGGGATTGTCAGTTACCTCAAATCACCTGCCTGTACCACAGGTCCTAACTCCCAGGATAAGAGAAAACAAATGGTGGCACAAGCCACATAAGCTATTGGCTGCTTCAGCATTCCCACTAATGGCTATCTCCATGCCAGCATGGACAAACAAATTTGGACTAATCCATTATGCAATAAGAACAGGAGTACTTAGTGGCACCTTAGAGACTAACAAATTTATTTGAGCATCCCTAAGGTGCCATAAGTTCTCCTGTTCTTTTTGCGGATACAGGTCTGTCGCATCTTACGCGCATTTAACATGTGCGATTTCAACTTTACGCGGTCGGCAAAAACAAAAAAGAGAAAAACAACAGTTTTAATACTATACCTGTAGTGCGGGCGATTTTGCCCGCCATTGAACTCAATGGGGTTTTGGCTATACGCGGTTTTCGCTTTACGCGCTAACTGTGGAACGGAACTCCCGCGTAAGATGAGACAGACCTGTACAGACTAACATGGCTGCTACGCTGAAACCTGCCATTATGCAATATTTCCTATATTTCCTATGTGATTAATATGGAGAAAGGAATCTGTAGCCTCTAAGTAAGGTTAAAACGTAGAGTCGGGTGTGGATGTGGGATTCAGCAAATGTCACTGTTCTCTTTGGGTGAGTCTGGAACCATGCCCCAGTGTGCTGCTATTGCACAGTGTAATGATGGAGACTTGCGAAGTGGCTTGCCTCTCTCTTGTTAACAGTAGACTAATGCCTCTGCATGAAGCTAGGTGGCGCTGCGCTGCAAGTAGTGCTGATGATGATTTACTACGTGGCGTTGTTGCCTTGAATGGTTAGCAAGCCGTGTTTGGAAGATTGCACTGCCGAAGGTGAGATATAAAACTGAAGTGCCGATTGCTTGTGACCTTTCAAGATCCCATGGCACTTTTTACAAATAGAGGGGTGCTACGCAACCCTATGCATTGGTCTCCTATGCAAATTCCAGTGTGGATAATTACATTCTGCCTACCTAAAAGCCCGTCATTGCAGGTGCATACAGTATTTTTTCACTAAACTCTTGTCAACTGCTGCTGTTTCTACATCCCCCAGAGGTGGGTGCATTTCACAGAAAAAGAGAAATCTGAGTCTGATAGGGAACGTGGGGCTGTGTGATGGACGAAAAGAGCTATGTAAATGTAAAATAAACAACATCATTACAAATGGAGCCACCTGTATGCTCAGGGCTTGATGCAGCCTAAATACCAAGGTCCTCTGAGCTGTATCAACCAAAAAAAAATCACTGAACCTTGTTCTATGGCCATGGTGAGGCCCAACTATCCTGGTTTTAATATAGCCTGCTGGGAAAAGAAAGAAAAAATACCCCAGCTGAGTGGCTAAAGTTGAGCTGCTCTTCAGTGACATGTGAGATGAGGTAAGTGAGCTCCCCATTACTTGACAGCTCTATAAGTCAGCACCTGTGAAAATTAGACCTGAATGTTTATACTTAGAAACCAAAATCCAGTGGCCTGATTTTCAGAGGTATTGAGTCAACTCCTCCAATGAAAGTCAATGGGAGCTGAGGGTACTCCTCAACTTTGAAATCAGGCCTTTTGGCATCTAACTTGAGGTGATGACATTTGATTGTTTTGGCCTAAGAGATTTTGCCAAGGTCATACAAGATGTCTGTTACTGGTCTGCAAATGGAATCCAGGTCGCCTACTACCCAGACTTACTTGTAGCCACAAGACCTCCTCACGCAGTCTCCTTAGCAGATAGTAATTCAATGGTCCAATGTGTGGCCTCCCAGGAGAAAGGTGACATTCTCAGATTGTGTATGGTTTCTTTGATGTTCCTGAGGCGTGCACCTTACCACAAATACCATTACTGCTCTAAAGGGTCCATCAGCTCTTGAGTGATGAACCCAAAAGCGTGCACACACAAGCCAGAAATAGTTGCTTTGAACTGGGAGCTCTTTGTGCTGTTACAGATGCTCAGGGAACATCAAAATGCATATTCTCTTTCTTATTTTGGCATTTTACTTGAGTCTTGACCTTTGTATTCACCAGTATGACAAGTAGTAATACTGTATGCAGTGTAGTTGTAGCCGTGTCAGTCACAGGATATTAAAGAAACAAGGAGGGTGAGGTAATATCTCTTATTGGCCCAACATCTGTTGGTGAGAGAGAGAAGCTGTCGAACCACACAGAGTTGTTCTTCAGGAAAGCCCCTCTCACCAGCAGAAGATAAAAGATATTACCTCAATCACCTTGTCTCTCTAATATCCTCAGACCAACACAGCTACAACTAATAGTAATATTATTATTTGAGTTAACACAGAAAAAGATTAAATGAGGAAATTAGACACTGGCAGTAATCTTTAATACACTGTATCACTTTTGTTTGTTTTAAGATATAAACAAACAAGAAATATCAATGCTCTCAGTAACACCAACTGACTACCTCCCTGGCCTTAATAAGTTAGCGATTTATCACGGATTATCAATATTGTCAGCCTCAGTACTGTCAAATCTCATGAGTGAGGCTCCACCCACCCCAAAATCATGAAATTGGACTAAAAAAAATGTGGATTTAAAAAAAATAGTAGATTTTTTGTTCTTTTTGTTTGCCTTCTGATTTCAGAGCTTTTAGTGTACATTTGGATCACATTTTCAGGCTTTTCTCTGCAACCAT